ACTCCCCACCACACTCAGAGTAAAAGTCAAAGTCCTACAATAGCTCCCAAGGCCCTACGTGATGACCACACATCCCCACCCCCAGGTACTCACCCACTTCCCCTGCCTGGAGTCGTCTTCTCCGGTCCATAGGCTCATCCCTCTATTCCTCCTACTGATTCTCAGCTCCCCCTTGCCTTGGACTCTCTGCTGGAAGGTTCGTCCAGTTACCTGCATGGCTCTCTCCCCACTTCCACTGCTTCCCTCTCAAGTTAACGGGGGCCTTCCCTGACCACCCTAGTTACCATGGCCATCCCCACCCTCCATCACCCTGACCCTGTTCACTTTTCTCAATAGCATTTACCACCAACACACACACCCACACACACACACAATCTGTCTATCATCCCTGTAGAAATAAACAAGGAACAACCATATGAAAAAAGCAAAGACTTACTTATTCATAACTACTATAGCCAGGGAGTCGGCCACTGTCACTTGCATTTTAGCAGAGGCTCAGAGGTGAGCAGAGGAATGGAAAAGCTTTATTGTGGAAAAAGGAAGGCTTCCGGTGTGCCTGGATTGGAGGCTGTTGGCACAGGGAAGCCTTAGGTGGGGTAGGTAGGAAGAGGGCACCCTGTGTGATTGGTTATGGGTGCATATTTAGCTTTCACTGGTCAATCCTAAGTTGGAAGCAGAGACAAAAATTAGGGAAGCTCTTAATTATATTGAGTTCTGGCCACTTGGGGCTGCTTGTTACAGAAGTGATGCTTAGCTTCCTGGAATGGGGGTTGGTCTCCTGGACAGGTTGCTGCAGGTTGTAGGTCAGAGTTCTTTTTCTAGATATGGTCTGGCCCTTGTCTATTTGTATCTTCAATGTCTCATCTCTCATTAGGATGCAAACACTAAGAACATTGTTTTATTTACTGCTGGATCCCCAGAGCCTAGAACCATGCCTGGTACTAGTAGGCACTTGGTAACTGCTGTTGATTATCGTGATGTTTGTCTGGACCTGGTTAGGAAAGCTGTGACTGCTACATGACCTGAGTAGAAAACCAACTACACCCATGCTTATTTCAACCCGATTCTACAAATGTCTGCTGAGTACTTGCTACATACCCAGGAGGCTCTGTGCTGGGTTGTGGTTATTCACTCCAGTGTACACAGGACAAGTATTGGTGGAAAATGGGTTAAAGATCAGAATTTTGAATGCTTTAGTCTTTGCTCCAAGTTTCTCTTCTCTCCCACTTTGAACTCATCTCTACCTTTAAGATCCTTCTCTAAGGTCCCAGGTCTCCCATCATATGTTCAGAGTCTGGCCCAGCACTCACTACCTGTGAAACTCATTTAGTTCTTTTGTCAATCAGCCTTTTCTCTTCTCAGTTGGATTATTCCCTCAGAAGAGGAGCCGCATCTTGCCCCAATATGGGTGACACATAGGAGGGTCTCAGTGATCTGAGTCTTCCCCCAAATTCTCCCACCTCTGTGTGACCTTTTCCCTGAGCTCCAGCTCAAATGTTTCACTGACCTCAGGACCCATATTCCCTGCTTCCAAGCTGCCATCTGGAGGTGTCTAAACAGGATGCTAGCCTGATAACCCAAGGCTGGGCCTCGCGTGGGCATCTCAACTATTTTCTGACAACGGCTACCCATTACGTTTGTAGACATATTTAAATGGTTCTGAATTATCTGTTCTTTCAGAAAGGAGATTCCAGGTTTTGGTTAATTTACCTTTCAGATAGAACACTCAAAGAAGCAAGAAATAAATAAGTCAGAATGGACCTGGAAATAGAACCGTTGAGTGAGCAGGCTGCACTCAGCCATCGCAGACAGAATGTAAGCTCCTCAAGGGCAGGGGCCTGGGCTGCTACATTTACTTATGAGTCTACACCTGGTGCACAGTAGATGCTCCATAAATAGTTATTGAATGAATGGGAGGAATAAACATGCACATGAACTCTGAAATGAGAAACACCAACTTTTAATAGCAGTCATTTTCTATTATATCCACTCATTTTGTTGCTTTAATTTTCTCAGCCATCACAAAACACATTTCATAAAAAGGCAAACGATAGAACTACAGATGTGAACGAGGGCTCTGAGGAGTGAGTGTGTCACTGCCCAGTTTCTGTTACTGAGCCACACGTGCTTTTAACACAGACAGAGATGTGGTCCCTGGTCTCCGCCTCCTATTGAGCACACGAAAAGCTCAGACTCGAGAATTCACCACATGGTTTTAAATCCCTCAACAATTAGGGATCCCTCTAATTGTGGTCTAATCCCTGAACGTCTTTGCCCTAATTTCATAATGACTCCAAATCAGACAGGTCAAAATTAGCTATAATAAATTCATTTGTGAATTTATTATTCACAAAGGCCTTGGGAAAGAAATGGAGGAAATATTTCACAAGATCTGCAACGATCCCTGGCTTCATTTCATTCAGATCACTTAAAATATATATATATATTATATATATATATATATTATTGATTTCAGAGAGAAAGGGAGAGGGAGAGAAAGACAGTAACATCAGTGATGAGAGACAACCATTGATTGGCTGCCTCCCGCATGCCCCCCACTGGGGGTTGAGTCCACAACCCAGGCATGTGCCTCTGACCGGAATCAAACCAGGGACCCTTCAGTCCACAGGCCTGATGCTCTATGCACTGAGCCCAACCAGCCAGGGCCAGATCACTTTATTTTCCCCAAACCTGGTCAATGTTAAAACCAATGGCCTCAACCCTGGACCTCAGACTTCTGATTTCCACTAATTAAGTAGCCAAATGGGCAAAATTAAAGGCAGGGTTCCTCTTGGCCAGCGGTCCTCAAACTACGGCCCGCGGGCCACATGCAAATACAAATATTGTATTTGTTCCCGTTTTGGTTTTTTATTTCAAAATAAGATATGTGCAGTGTGCATAGGAATTTGTTCATAGTTTTGTTTTTAAAACTATAGTCCGGCCCTCCAACGGTCTGAGGGACAGTGAACTGGCCCCCTGTTTAAAAAGTTTGAGGACCCCTGCTCTTGGCCAAAGCTCCGGGTGCTCCCCTGACCCCGCGTCTGGAGTTCCTCAGCGTTCACATCTTGGGGCAGAGAAGACAGGAAGCTCTTCCTGCCCGTCACCAGGGAAGAAAGTGAGGTGTTCAAGCAGCCCCCAGCCTCTGGGAAGTCCCTCCCTCTCGGAGCTTAAATCTCTTCTCCTGGCCAAGAAGCACAATTCCCTCCAGCCCTGTCATCGCTGAAGAAAGGAGAACAGCTGCTCACCGCCCTCCTTCTAATCATCCTTAATGGGCTCGTAAACAGTTATTAGGTCCCCCTTCAGCCTTCTCTGAGCCTCATTCTATTTGCATTGAGGCTGAGAGCTTCTGAGGAAGGCGTTTTACTCAGGGCTCCACAGACTTTCAGAGTCTTAAATGGGTAATCGGCCACTTCACCCACTTTAACCTCCACAAATGAACAGCTCTGCCTTCTTTTGCAAAATTTAAACCTATTCAAGGGAGTTTCCTGGCAACCAGCCCTTATTAATTAATCATTGCCTGTGCTAGGCCAGGTCAGGGCATTTTTTGAAATGTTTCTTTTTCTTGAGAAGTCACACTGGCATGCAGGCACACAATAAACCAGCGGCGGCAGCCTCTGAAGTTCTGCATTTGCAGGATGAATCTCGAGTGCCCCCTACCGGCCACTTCAGGGAGTCCTCAAAACTGGGCAGCGGCTGGTGCTCTGACAGACTCTCACCTGGTCCTATCTTGTAGGTATTAGACTGATGCCTCTGCCACTGGGGAACAGGACATGGAGGTAAAACGGATTGCTCAGTCTCCACGAGGCACATGCTGAAAAGTTCCATTTCCTACCCCATCGTGGTCTGGTTTATTTTCAGGTCACTGCTCACCCCAGCTGCAGGGTTAGCTAGAGCGTCCCACTGTGTCCCCAATCGACTCCTGGCTCCCTCAATCTCAGGAGGCAGGAGAGGAGCAGGGTAGGGAGGTTGCAAGGTTCATGTGGGTTTTGGTTTTTGTTTTTTGGGGGGGGAGGGAGGTTGGCTTTAAGAAAAAAAGTGACTTCATTTCATGAAAAATTTTAATCTGGATGGCTAAAATTAAAAGGACTGACAACACCAAGTGTTGACAAGGAAGGAGGGCAACCAGAACTCTCAGTCATTGCTGGTGCAAGTATAGAGTGCAGCCACCAACTTTGGAATTCTCAGCAGATTCCAGCAATGGCTCGAGCATGTCCATGCTTAGGAACATACTCCCAAGAAACATGTTTGTGCTCACACGAGCAACTTCACAGGACGAGTGTACAACAGTGAAAAACTTACAGCAGCCTTCACAACAGTGAGGAGAACTGGACTGCTGACCTACAGTACGACACGGATGCATCTCACAGACATGCTATACTCGGCATACACAGCCAGGCAGGAAAGGGCACATCTGTGTAATTCCATTCATATGAAACCCAAATAAGCAAAACTAGTCTATGATGATAAAGACCCTCCTGCCTCTGGGAGGAGTCTGTTATCGAGCTGAATACCTCAGGTCTGGGCACTTTATTGAATATAAGTTGTACCTCAATAAAAAAATAAAAGTAGGTGTTTACTGTTTTCTTCTTCCCAGAAGAATAACCCACTACTTATTCACCCATTTCTTTTTCACTGCATGGCTTCTTTTGAAAAAGATTTAAGGCAGTGGTTCTCAACCTTCCTCATGCCGCGACCCTTTAATACAGTTCCTCATGTTGTGGTGACCCCCAACCATAAAATTATTTTCGTTGCTACTTCATAACTGTAATTTTGCTACTGTTATGAATCGTAATGTAAAAATCTGATATGCAGGATGTATTTTCATTATTACAGATTGAACATAATTAAAGCGTAGTGATTAATCACAAAAGCAATATGTAATTATATTATGTGTTTTCTGATGGTCTTAGGCGACCCCTGTGAAAGGTTCGCTCGACCCCCAAAGGGGTCGCGAGCCACTAGTTGAGAACCGCTGATTTAAGGTGACTTACAAAGGTGGATGGTGTTGAACTGCATTTATAAATGAAGAATTCTGGGTAATGCTAAAAGGAAGGCAGGAAAACAAGATGAAATCAGAGGTGTGGGTAGTCCTCAGCTTTCTATCAGAAATTTCCGTGCTCTTCCTAGGGACGGACTGAATGGAGCTGCCTAGCAATCAATGGAAAGAAGAAACATAGTAAGTCCATGTCCAAGAGTCAGCAGTCCAGCTGGCTAGAGGCACAGAGACCTGGGACCACTTTCTCCTGTGTCGTCTCAGAAAAAGGCAACTAGGCCATCAAACCCTGTTGTGCTGTTTTAAACATCCCCTTTGGGATCCTGGGTCTCCGAGTCCCTTCAGGCCATATTTTTCCTCCCGTGGCACCCCATAGGCTCCCGGAGAATTTAGGGGGAGGCAGCGTCCCTCAGAGCATTGAGGTCCCTCGCTTGCTCTTCTGTGGGACCAGCAACCACACGCTACTTACTTCCCTGGAGGAGGCTTGGGGGAAGCTCTGCTCTTGAGGGCGGGGTCTCTGTTCTTCGGGGTGCCCGGCTTGCCATCGTGGTTTCTGGAACCTGGGCCTGCATCCGCAGCCTGTGCTTGGCCACTCAGCCCATCTCCTTCCTCGCCGGTGCTCCTCGGTGGCCCCGTCCCTCCCGCGGAGACAGCGCTGCTCGCAGCAGCTCCCTGGCGGCTGGACTCTTTCCAATTTGACATTTGCATTAAGGAACCTTTCCACTTTCTGGCTCCAGTTTTTGAGTTGAATTCGTATTTTGCACCAGTCACTGGGGGGTGGAAATACAATGACCATGTAAACAAATGACTCTCCCCATCTCCACCCTGTCTAGCCCCAGCCCCGGAGCAGAAAGTGAGAATCTGAGCATCACCGACGGAAAGCAGGCTTGTGAACGGTGCAGTCAGTCCTCACCAGCTGCCCTTTCCGCGGCTGCTGTGCGGCTCCGACCACACTGGTAGCAAATACTATGCCTCCGGGGACAGGAAGGTTCCGGGGAGGCTCAGGCCGCCTCAGTTGCAAGATGAGAAGGAGGCCACACAAACCTGGACTCCATGGGACCTTCGGACAAATTCGCTTCACTTTCTAATGGGGTTACCCATCTCAATCTGGTTTGTTTTTAAAAGACCCCCAAATGCCTGCTATTAAAAGGCATTCCCCAGGGGAGGAGGAGAAGACTTTGACTGGCATTTATGTTAGGGGAGCAGAGGTTTGTGGACACAGACATGCCAATCTGGCCCCCGGGGTGATGAAGCAGGGGAGCCATATTTATCGTGTCGGCGCCAGCAGACTCTAATTGACGTGTCTGCTCACATGTGTCCGGTTGGCTCACTTCTTCCTTCTTCCTGCTTCACACTCAGATGCAGAGCGCCGGCCCCGGCTCCCCCGGCCTTTCCCTCGGAGCTGCAGGCGAACCCCTGCTCCTGCCATCTCCATGCAGCGCGAGTGGCCTCTCCACTGAGGATCCACCAGCACTTATGCTAATGTGGGCACATTATGGTAACAAGTACCTAATAATAGAGGGAAATTTAATTCCAGCGGCAGCGGCAGCAGCCTGTCCTGGAGAGGAGCCATCCTCCTTCCGAGGACGACCGGGCCCTTTGCATGTGAGCGTGGCAGGGAGCCAACACACTTGCCTCCTGGATTTGGTTTCCTTCCCTGTATTCATGTCTATAATTGAGCCTTTGTAAGTGGAAGGATGTGTGTAAAGGAGCTAAATTTGGAGCTGATTTCATGGGGGTGAGAAGAGCTCTGGAGGCCAGCTTTACCTCGGTTTATCTTGCCAACCAAGAAGAAATTCTTGGCCCCGATCTAGGAAAAAAAAAGAAGCCATCCTTCCCATTTCTCCGTATCTCTCGCTACCAAATAGGATGGTGTTGGAAGCCTCAGAAAGGATCAGGGGTGGAGGCTCAATCCCAGTGAGCAGGGGGGGAATGTGGGTTCTTGGAGTCACCAGTTCCTTGACTTGGTTTGTGATTTAGAAAGGGAGGCTAGACTGTGGCACGGTCCTGGAGTCGGAGCCTGGAGGTGGACACCCTGAGGCCTCACACAGGATCACGTGTCTGCAAGCAGCTCAGCTCCGAGCTGGTCTCACCTGCTACTGCAGCCTAGAAGGGCCAGCGCTGTAGAGCTGACCAAACGGATCAAAACGGAGTTAAGGGCGTGAAATTGGACAAGGCTCTACCAGCCTGGAATATGCAAAACACACTAGTGGGCGGGACGGCCACTTAGTTACCTGGGTCTGTGGCTTCACCGTCAAAGACCGTGCTCAGCTGGAATGTGTCCTAAGGAGAGAAGAGAGACAGCTTCCAACACAACCTCCCACAGTTTCAAGCACAATCCTCCTCCCAGGCAAGGCCACGGCTCCTACAGCCTCAGGTTCCTGCCCAGGGCCTTCTGGGCGCTTATTTACTCGATGGGCACCGGGCTAGATGCTGGGGACACAGCAGTGAACAGGCAGGAGTGGTTACAGCCCGCACAGAGCTTGCGATCCAGGGGAAGCCACTGACATACAGGCACTACATACAGAGTGATACGGGCTCTATGAGGCAGGGATAGAGGAAGCTATGGGTGAGCAGGTGGGAGTGGGAGGAGGACATTTAACCCAGACTCGGGGGTAGGAAAGCATCCTGAGTAAAAGATATCTAGGCTGCATAGAAGAAAGAGCAGAAATGCCACAAACACCGGCTAGGATCTGCATTGCCCAAGGCCACTGCCGGGCAGACGTGGAAGGCAGGCACAGATGAGCACCCGTGTGCTGCCACCCTGGGCTCTGGCTGTGTCCCTTAGGTCAGTGCAGCGTTGCATCAGAGCTTGGCCTGCCTTACCTCCGCCCTGTGCTCCATATCCTTTTCTCCCCCTGATCCGTACTCTGTGCCACCCTCTAGGCCAGCGGTTCTCAACCTGTGGGTCGCGACCCCTTTGGCAGTTGAACGACCCTTTCACAGGGGTCGCCTAAGACCATCCTGCATATCAGATAATTTCATTACGATTCATAACAGTAGCAACATTACAGTTATGAAGTAGCAACGAAAATAATTTTATGGTTGGGTCACAACATGAGGAACTGCATTTAAAGAGCCAGAAGGTTGAGAACCACTGCTCTAGGACCTGACCTCCGACCCCATTGAAACACCCTCGTCCCTCACATGATGTCCTCCAAGGTGCCATTCTTTGGCATGCTGATGAGGACTGTGTTCGGAGTTTAGTGGGCCCTCCAACCCCAGTATTTATCACTGAAGCCACCACCTACTCACTTGTCCAGAGCTCCCCAGCACTGAAGAGAGGAAATGGAGACTGGATGGGTCTCATCGATTTGATCAGCTCAGCAGCCCTGCTTTTTATGGTCATGGAGATTTGTTTATTTAATTGATTAACTTAATATTACATAAGTCTGAGACAGTCTCCAGATGAAAGGTACTTGCCTTAGACAATAAGACCTGGAAGCAAGAGATCACCTCTTCTTATTTGTATAAAGACCGACCCAGATAAATACTTTGCTGATGAGCCTGAAGCAAAAAATTCCAGGGCACTGAATTGTCCTCCTGGCTGTGCTCAGCATTCCCCAAAGTTATGGGTCTGGGATTATAGCAAAGTCTTATTATTAGAGGTTGGGGGAGGTGTGTGTTTTTTTTTGGGGGGGGGGGTCCTTCTTCAAGTGTCATCACTCAGTAAAAGAAAAACAGGCTTATGATAGGGGGGAGTGACGCTCCAGCTATCACACCTGGCATTTGTGTGACTCTTAACGTTTTCCAAAATATCTCCCCACCTGTTCTCTCAGGGCAGGCACCCTCACCCATTTCACAAATGAGGAATCTAAAGCGTAAAGAGGCTGAGGGAGCCCCGGCCAGTGTGGCTCAATTGGTTGGGCACCAAAAGGTTCGATTCCTGATTAGGGCACCCGTGGGGGTGTACGGGAGGCAGCTGATCAATGTTCCACTCTCACATAGGTGTTTCTCTCCCTCTCCCTTCTTTTCTCTCCAAAACAAAATCAATAAAAATATTTTTTTTAAAAAAAGGGGGGGCTGAGGGAGTCTGCAAGATCATATGCCTAAGTGGGCAGAGCCAATCCTAGACCCACGAACTGCACTTTATCCATTTTTCCGCAAGGTTATGGAAAGGCACAGGAAAGAAATCCTATTGAAGGCGAAAGCTTAAATTCTGGTCTTTAAGCTCCTCTCCCCCAACTCACTCTCCTGGAGAGCTGGTGTAGATAATAAACACCATTATTCAATATTTATGAAATCCAGTTCTTCTGCAAATATATCAGCAGACATGTTCAGTGGAGGGAACAAATTCTACCAGGAGCACGTCACACAACAATCTGTTCCAGTGGCCAAATACAAGCATCTCCCTGAATGATAAACACGCCCCTGAGGCTGTGGCAGGGCCTGCCTGGGAGGGGGACGGGAGCCCCCCACAACCCTCCACCCAAGCCAGGTGCCCCGGGGCCAGCCAAGCTTACCACCACAACTTCACTTTTTGTTTTCTTCATTTCTGCAGGGAATAGAACAGACAGAAGTTAAGCTTTTTGGACACTAGATTGACCTTAAAATTCTACCTCCACATGGGATTTCTCTTAAGCAGGCTTTGAAATCAGAATGGCAGACACGGCAAAAAATGTTCTCTGTAGACATGTTTGCTGATGGCTTTCCATCTCTTCAGAAACACACACACACACACACACACACAATACATAGAATTAAAAAACAAAACAAAAACACTTTTTTTGCTCTTTTTCCAGCTTATTATTATTATTGGACCTAGGAAATTAGTTTTTAAATGGAATTTAGTTTTAAATAAGTTATAGGTAAGGAAGAAAAAGAGAGTTGATATATTAGTTCATAATGTGGGGATTCCTTCTATCCATTCCCTGTGCCCTTTTAAAAAAGGAACTAGGGTGGGAAACCATTTGTGAAAATCTCATTTATGTAAATCATCCCATGTGATATGATTAATAACCATTATAATTAAATTTCTAATCCTGCTTAGATGTGCCGTGTGCATGTCAAACACACATACCTATGATTGAAGTGATTAAAACAATCATTTTTAAAAACACATTTTCCAGTTTTTTTGTCCTGTCTCTCCCCATGGCCTGGGTTCTCCTTGAGGCAACAGCTTTTGGGACCAGGTGGCGACATCTCCTTAGCTTAGAGTTGGTCAGATCGACTTTGCTCAACTCACCAACGTCCCTGAAATCATTCCGTTCTCCCAGCCCGTATGACTGCACCAGCCCCCCTTTTAACTAGCCTGACCTAAATAACTTGGGAAATAATAAAATCCATGACAATCTCAGAATAAAGTATCATTTGTGCTTTAAAAAGAGGCATTTGTCCAATACAGAGCATTAGCTGTCCTCAGGAGGGGTCAGCAGAGAGTAGATACCGTCTGTATTTAACCCACAGAGAATTCTTCGATCCTGTCCCACCCAGTGGGGAACGGACCTCTAGGTGCATAGGTTGAGCTGATTAGAACTGACTCTGGGTAGGGACCAGGTGGGGTCAAAATGAGTGACTCGAGTGGGCCAGCGGCACCGTGTGTCCTGACCTTCCTTTTCTCTAGCTGCCCTGACCTCAGTTTCATTCCACCCATGGATGATGAGGCTAAAAACCCACCAAGACAGATTACATCCTGGTTCTATGCCAAGTCGGAACCCTTTCATGTACTACAACAGAACCGGCAAAAATGATAATGATGATGATGATGATGAAGATGATGATGATGATAATAACAGCAACAAAAGGAATAGGCACCGTACATACCTCCTTTCTTCATCCTATGGGGAGAGAAGGGATGGATAAGAATTAACCTGAGAGCATTCTGTACTCGTACACTCACAAGACGTTGCCCTTTGGGCAACTGTGTTCCCTGGGATTCAGGAGTGGATTGAAAGGGGCCAGGGATGGGGACTAAAGTGAAGGCTGGGCTCCCACCCCTGCTCCAAACAGAGCAGCTCCATCACTGTTGGTTTGGGACTCAGGAGGTTCTGAGAGTTTGATAAGTTTGAAAATTATTGCTTTATAGAACTTCAGGGAATATATCTTCTCTGACAACTGGATGAGGCTTAACAACCCCAATCAGACTGACCGGCAGTTCTTCCTGCCCCATTTTTCTCCCCAGTAGCTAACTGAGCAGACAGCTTAGCTCACAGTGGGACGGTTCAAGGGCTGGCAGCTAAACTTTGGTTTCTGGTAACAAAAAAAGCTGGCCTTGGACTCTAAGACCCTTTCCCTGATAACCTTGGATTCTCTGATTTTATTCTATTTTGCTATTGAACGAATGTTGGCTGCCACGTGGTATAACTAATTTCCAGAGAGAGCAGGTCTGAGTCTGAATTACTAACGAGTTTTTCTTTAAAAGTCAACCATGTTGGAATGACTAATATTTAGAATGTAAGTTAAAGCAAACAGGTACAAGGTGCATACTGAACTTTTAACCATAAATTGCTTGTGAGTTGCAGCAATTTGGATAACTGACTTGCTTTAAGAACTTCTGCTCAAATCCCACTACCATCCTTATAAGTTTAAGCATCAACTTTTGGAGCCAATTTATTTTTTTCCCCAAATCAATTTGTGAGTAGAGTCCAAACAAAAATGCCTTTTTAATTTCAGCAGAGGCTAAAGGATTTCTTACCTTGAAGTCAAGGTTGCCAATAGCAACTTCCCCAATAAATATGGCAAAAATGCAAAGCACATCTTTATGCTAATGCCTTCTAGTTTTATTCTGAGTCTCTCATCCATAGATTTTAGATTATTTGACAGTACTAGTTAGTCTTCAAAATACCTTTAAATGGCACATGAGTCTTACCCCTTCTTTTTGCCAGTGAGAAATTCTAAAACTCAAGTTCCAACACCATAAGATTCTTGGGCTTATTGCTAAACTGGAATTTAGAATCCTGAGCTCGATGGGCCATGAAAAACAATACAACAAGCTTTTAAAAAACAGTGTATTGAAGCATTTATAGTAGGAGCAGTACTAAGTGCTTTCTTTGCATTTGCTCATTTAATTGTTTAGTTTTCAAAAAAGGACACAGCTGCCACTTGCCCAAAGCCATGTACCTAGAAAATGGTAGAGCTAAGATTTGAACCCAGGCCTTATCTAAGGCCAAAGCCCATTCTAATTGTAAGAGCTTCTGAAACTCAAGAAACTGTATCTGGGGGAAGCTTATAACAATCTAGTGATCTCTTCTCTTCTCTCTCATACCTCACTTGGCCAGTAAAAGAGACCCTGCAGGATGTTGCAGTTAGAGGCGCGTTAGTGGAGAGTAGGAGGGAGAGGAAACAGGTCTGTATTTGCAGCCCTAGAGCGTGAGAGATCAGGGCCATGTGTAAAAGAACCATGATTATTTTCCTTATCAGTTTTTGGTTTGATAAGGAAATCAGCTTAATTTCCTTATCAGTTTTTCTAATTCGATTCCATCCTTTAAATATTCTACAAAGATGAGCACAGCGTATCTAACACACTGCTCACAGTTGGGCTTTTTTCCTGAAGCATGTATCCAGGGCAAGTCACCCAGGGGTTGAAACCCAATTTCTTTGAGAACACGTCAAGGACAGGGCAGGTGCCCAGGAAAACCAAAGGAACCGTCTCCTTCCAGCAGGTGAGGAAGAGGGTACACCATGACTAAGGGCAGCTAGGATTCTCTCCCCATGTGTCCTTTCCCTTCCTTCACACCAGGCACCCTCTCTACCCTGTAAAGAAATTCTAATTCTCTATCTTTCCTTTGCCTGAAATCACTGGAACCAGTGTCCCAGAGGAAGTTGTGGGAAGGGCCCAGCCCACTCGCAACTTACAGAGGTTTCCTGTGCTTCGCAGTCTTGCAGGGACAGTGCCTGTGCATGGCCTTGGCCAACTGGACGATCAGAGCCACCAGGAGAACCAGAAGCAGTATGGAGCCCAGCGTGATGACAAAAGGCACATACCACGCCGATGGAGAATACACGTTTTCCCTCCGGATCTGGTAGGTGATCCTGGGCTTGAAGGACAGAGAAGGGGGAGGGGGAGCGGA